AGATCCCAGGTCGGCAAGGGTGCTCCCTTTGGTCTGTTGACCCCGCATGAATAAACCACTGTTTATTGATATGGGGGTGTTCCCCTCCAAAAGTGATAAATCCCCCACTAAAACCAGGCCCCATATTAGTAAACAAGGGTTTATTAATCCGGGGTCAACATTATATGCTTCAAGGGTCCCGCCAAAATGGACACCTCATATATTTCTACATGGTCCCGCCGAAACAACAACTTGAGTGCGAAGGGATCGATATTTTAGGGGTCGGCAAGAAAACCAAGAGGAAACCACTTTCATTGACGATCCCTCTATTTTGGAGACGTATCCACACATGGCTATGAATTGTTTATTGGGAACCTCCTCAAAAGTGGTTGGCGCACATGAACCCCCACCGTATTCTCATGTCCACCAAAGGGTCCCTAATGAAAGTTTGCATCCTTGTGGTCTTGTCACCTCGGGCACGTACCTCTGCCATAAACTCTAAACTGGGGTATCTACCTATCTATGGCGTTCATAAGGGGTATATTCGGCCACATATCAAGGGCACCTACTCCAGGAGCACATTGCCCTTAGATCGACTCTACCCAGGACGGCGCGCGGGGCTTCTTTCGAGGCGCACCACCGGTCGGACATACCTGAAGCTCTCCAAGTGTGAATCAGGGCTCGGTACACATAGGGAAAAACATGCTGATGCAACACAATACAAACATGTATGTAGCTCAGAGGATCGATGCTTCCGGCTGTCATGCCCATTTCTTGCATCACTGCATCCATTCTGGGCATGCCGACGTGACACAAGGGGGGGGGGGAGGTGACCTCACCCGTGATTTAAAAAAAAAGAAAGAAGAAGGTTGGCTTCAGGCTGGCAAACCCTTACAATTGGCCCAGCGGCTTTCTTCGCCATGGACATTATCTGCGGCGCCCTCCCGCGTGGACTGAGGTCCCTGAACGGCTACTAGGTCCCCCAGTAATTAGTGCCCGTTTATCCTCTTTTGGGGGAGGGTTCCCCTAGTAAAAAATAGACCACAGAGAAAAAATCGGGTGCCCTCATTTTACCTCTCTACTGGAGGACCTAGCCTTTCCCTGGGCAAGTATTCCCGATTGCAATTAAGCGTAAGAGCTCACTCCCTGAGTTGGGACTTTCACTTTTTGGCTTTGGACCATGGGGGTAAACAACCGGATTGATCTTTTGTTTGGCCAGTCTCATCAGGAAGTGAGTTGAGTATTGCCCATGTTGGCGGCAAACAACAAGTTTGACTCTTTGTTTTGGCCAGTGCACTCGTTCGGAAGTGAGATGAGTATTCCCCATGGGCAGGGATTCCAAACTTAGAAACTGAGCAGGCAAGTTAGGGGTTCCAGGGTTTCCAGTTACGGCAATCGAGGGGGTAGCCGCTATCACAGAAGCCGGCGGCAGGCGCTTGCCACGGCTTTCGGTGGCAGCCAAAACTTGGAGCCTTCAACACCCAGGTCCCTTTGTTGTTTTCAGGTCCGGCTTTTTGGGGGTGTCATGTGGCACCTTCAGAAATTGAGGGCTCCCCTTGGGAGTTTGTTGCATGGCTCGACAAGGCGTCACTTGCAACACCGAGCCGTGGCGGCCGTGACGCGTGCAACGCTCGCGGCTCCTTCAGGTGTGCTGCCCAACATCTTGGGATCCTCTTTGGCCTGGGGCTTGCAGATGCCGCTCTACCAGCAGTTCAAGATCTTCGCACGCAGCTCCAAGGCGGAATGGAGAGGGTAGTTTGGTGGTTCAGGGGGGTGTTGTTCGGGGTGAGTGTGGAGTTGTTGGTGTTTGTTTGTTTGTTTGTTTGTTTGTTTGTTTGTTTGTTTGTTTGTTTGTTTGTTTGTTTGTTTGTTTGTTTGTTTGTTTGTTTGTTTGTTTGTTTGTTTGTTTGTTTTTTTGTTGTTGTTGTTTTTTTTCCTGGGGCTTCCCATCCTCAAAACCATGCAACCCAAACCACCAATCAAGGGTTACCTGAAAAATCTCGCGCGCCGTTTCGCTCGTTGCTCGCTAAGGGAAGAGCCACGGCCAAGTGTCGCCTTTTTGTTCGTGTTTCGCATAGCCAGCTTTTAAGAGCACAGAGAACAAATGAGCCAGGCGTGCTAGCTCACTTCCTGAGTTTTTGGACTTTAGTCCCTTTGAGGTTTAGTTGCCATTTTGGTGGTAAACACAGAGTTTGATTCCTTTTTTGGGCCAGTCCACTCGAGCGGAAGTCAGAGATTGCGCAGGTCGATGCCCATCTCGCTGCCAAAGATAGCGCCTGTTCTTTGGCGGCTGGCGCGGCCACCAATGTGGTGCCCCGGCCGTCGAATGCTGGGGTTCCCTGAGGACCCAAAACTGTTTTTTTCTCTCTCGTTGCCGAAAACAAGTTCTTGAACTTAGAATATTGAACTGAAGGCAAACAACAACTTGCGAAGTTTCCACTTTCAGAGCCAGAACCCATTGGCGGTGTTTTTTTGCATTTAGCCACCAAATGGGGGTGCCTGCAAGTGGCGAGCCTGGACTGGAGAAGTTGCTTCAAAGAATCTTGCGCACAGAGTTTTCCTGCGGGTCTGCGCTTATGGCCTTACAGAGATTTAGGACTTGACGGTCTTGCACTCACGTCCTGAGTTCATGGACTTGAGTCACTTTTGGGAGTTGGACCATTTCAGTGGTACACAAAGAAGTCTAGGCTGTTTTGGGCCAAGCCGCTTGTTCGGAACTGAGTATAAGTTTTTTTTGTTTCCGGTTTGGGGAGGTCCAATGCTTCCACTTCAGTTGCAAGCTGCAGGGCTGCACGGTTTCTGAGATATTCTGCGATCCAAGTTGTTTTTTACAGTTGAAGAGTTGACGTGTTTGGTCTTCTTTGGAGGAGTTACCCGTCTTTTTGTGTGGTGTAGGGGACTGAAATAGCCGAGAAACTCAAACAGCATCACAACCGACTGGGGGGTATGTTGTTTTTTTCTTTTTTTTGAAGGTACCTTCCTTGTTTTTTTTTTTTTTTGTAAGGTGGAACCAACAGCAAGAACCGTGAAGCCTTTTGGGGGGTCCACCAAAAGAAAACACACACCCGTGAGAGTCCCAAGGTGTTTGAGGGAAGCACACCCGTGTTTGCGGGCGTATCCTGTTTCAGATGTGAGGAGTCGAGTCACAAGAACCCTTAGTTTCCAAGTTCTAATCTGTTGACATGCTTTGCGGCCCATCTCACTCGCTGAGTTCCTCCTGGACTTTTGACTCTTTGGGAAGACCATTTCAGTGGCAAGGAAAAAAAGATTGAACTTTTTGTTTGGTCAATCCATTAAGGAGGTGAGTTCAACATGCTGTCTTGGCCAATATTTGACACGGGTAAAGGGGGGCCTTTTCTCTATTTGATCTGGGGTGAGTTCAAAGAACTTCCATCAACAGTAGGGACTTGTGTGGCTCGCATGACTCACGCTGAGGTGGTGCATCCATTCTTCTTGATCAAGACCCGCTGCGCGGCTTGCACTTGCCGCAGTTCTCCCGTGCTCTGTTCAATCCATTTCGCTGGTTACTCCAAGGTCGACTCAAATCCTGGTCGCAACGCTGAGTTTACGACCTTGGGGAAATCCAAGAAATGGGAGCCCTGACATACCCTTACCCTGACCCGTTAAGCCTTGTTTGTCTTCCTAAGCTCCAGAGTCCGGCAAGTCTCGCGACTCGCATCAAAACGTGTTTTTGTGTGGAGTTGGATCTCTGCCAATTGATTGATTCCGTTTCACGGGGGGAGACATGCTCAAAGGCATGCATCGGTTTGAACAAGCCCAACTGGTAGCGGGCCCCCCTGTGGCTGGTGGATACATTTGCACATCAATCCCGCATCAACATTCGCCTTTGATTCCTTGCTTTCACTCAACAAACTGGCACTCGTTCTGGGTGGCTGCTATTGAATGGGTTCAGTTGTTCAGTGACGCTGGTAGAAGTAGAGCCCTTTTTGGGGCCGCATCAGATAAAAAGGGATGAGGAGGGGCTCCACCAACACCTGGGTAAGTGGAAGGGGTTTCCCGAACTGGGACATCAAAGAGTCACTCTCTCTCTCTCTCTCTCTCTCAAGATGGGAAAACAAATAAACAATCAACTTACGGCCCATCAAATGTTCAACCAACCGGTTGAAGGCAACAGGTATGTTTGGGGATTCCTTTTGGGTGGATTTTAGGGGGTGGTCCGGAGGGTGGTATTGAAGGGAAGCCAAAGGGTAAGCCACCATATTGCGTTCACTTAAAGACACCAAGTTGTAAGCATTGCAGATCCAATTCGGGCCCCGAACTCATTTGAAGAAGCCTCACGTGGATCTTTGAGTCTTCCAGCAGAACGTTTCGCCTGAAGCGAGGCCTGCAGCTGCAATTGCACAGCTCCAGCGTCCCTGGCGGCTACCGGGGGGCCTTGCATGCGGCCGCTCGGCGATCAGATTCTGGAGGCGGCTTGTGAGCAAGAGTCATCTTACCCCAAGCGACCGAGTCCGAGTTTCAGTGTTTTGGTTTCGGGCCAGTCAGCCCCAAATAGACTCACTTCGCCAAAGCGAATCGACCAGCTTGGTACCCATGTTTAGTCATGGCAACCCAAAAGGTGATCGCCTTGTATTCCTCGCTGCGAGGAGAATCAAGTACTCCAGATCTTCAGAGGGCAAACCGCATCTTGGGATCCAACGTGGATTCTGTTTGGACGAAGAAGTTCCCAGTGGATTTGTTCATACACCTAGGGCACTTTGTTTGGAATTGTTGGTTCGTGCATAGATTAGACTAGATTACATTGGATACACTCACTAGTTTCTGGGCTTTACTACTTTTTGGGTTTGGACCATTGGTAAACAAACAGTTTGGTTATTTTTTATGGACAGTCCACTCGTACGGATGTGAATAAAGGGTTAGACTAGACTAGATTAGATTAGATAGACACACAGACAGATGAACAGATCGATTCATAGATCGATGATCGATGGCTGGATAGATGGATAGAGGGACGGACTGACAGAGACAGAGACAGAAACAGGCACATAGACAGACAGAAAGTTCCTGCCTGTATAACAGGTGTTACGTTTTCAAAAGCAGTTGGGGGCCAGGGACCTTATCTTCTTTTGGTGGCTCCCAGCCATCCGGTTCCTTAGCTTTTTAGCCTTGTAGTGTTTCGTGGTTTCCGAATTTCACCCGCTGAAAGTGAGACTCACTGACTCAGCGGATCGGACAACGGGCAGCCCAGTTCTCAAGGGAAGTGCCCGAAGCGCCTGAGCCCAAGGTTGAAACCATCGCCATGGAAGAAGGTCTGCGAGGCGGGGAGACCCGGGTTCGGCGACTCCAAGGAGGGAATCATGCGGGTGCTCTTGTTGGAGGGAAGCCTTTGTTGGTTGGTTTCAAGGGAAGCGGAAAGAATCCCACGCACTCTTTTCTCTTCCTGGTCTTTTTGTTGGGGGTGGGGTCCCGCTGTTTGTCTCCAGGTTTGGGCAAGGTCCTTTCCGCAAAGAATCGACACTTTAGGGTGCGTCTTCTTTGGGTGCACCCCTAAACCGCTTGGATTTTCCTTTTGGCGTCCCTCTAAAAACCCACCAAACCTGGGGTGAACCCAACTCCAAAGACGTCCCCTTGAGTTGTCTTTTTTGGTTTGGCAACGGCTAAGCCCATATGGCCCATATGATTTTCGTTGGGCGCTAGAAGCAAGGCCCGGGCTTTTTGTCGGGCTCCGTGAAGCCCCGTTTGGCTTCCAAAGGAACCGGGGCTTAGCCCAAACCAATTCAAAGGAAGACTCCAGGGAGTGAGACACATTTTTTGTGGACTTGAGACATCCCTCAGACGGAAGGAAGTTGCCCGATTGGGCTCTGGAAATCTTGCTGGTGCTCAGTAGGGCAGGGATTCCTTTAAGGGAAGCCATAAAAATGGTCATTCCCACATTCCCTGCTGAGCACCAGCAAGATCTTCCATTTCGGGGTCTGTTCGGGAGCACCGTTCGGGAGCACATGGAATCGTCTCGGGGATGGTAGACGCTTGTTGGGTTTGGGAAGACAATTTCGGTCAGCAAAAAGTGTGGTTACTTTGTTTGTCCAGTCCACTAGTTCGGAAGTGAAACCATCCGTTTTGAGAAGTAAAGGAAACCAAGGTTGAAAACCAAAGGAAAGCCAAGGGAAACCAAAGGAAACCAAAGAAAACCAAGGGAGAACCAAAGGAAAACCAAGGGGAACCCAAGAAACCAAGGAAGGAAACCCAGTTTGAACACCTGGAAAGGATGGGACCACACTTGAGGCTTCTACCGTGGCTTTGGACCTTCACTGATGCTCTGCTCACACGGCGCCGTGCTCCTGGTGTCCTATGTGCCTCGGCAAATGACTGGCTGGATCAAGGTATTGGGAACACGACTCCACTGCCTGGGGCTTCGTTAAAACTCGTCCCGAGAAATCGTGGTATCTCGGGGACCCGAGAAATCGTGGTGGTGGCGACCCCTTTTAACCAACCCCACCAAGCAACTCACTCCCTGAGCTGGATGTTTGTGGCTTTTTGGGGCTTGGACCGTGGTAAACTGTGGCGACATTTTGTTTGACCCATGCTCTCACGTGAGACTTGTTAGGGCACGCAGGACATGGTACAAATGCCTGATGTCAAACTGATGGCTTTTTTACTGCAACGACTCCCAGTGTTCTTTCAATACATTCCGCGGTGACCTCTGGCTTACTCCCCACAAGGCCCAGCTCCCATTTCGGAGGGGAACCCTTCGAAGCTTCGCTTTTCAGCGGAACAGCCAAGTAATACACGTTGATTTGTCGGGGTCACCTTTCCCAGACAAAAACGTTCCACTTCAGGTTGGCGATGTCCGTTTGGCTTTCCATTGCTCAGCTGAACGTTCCGGGAACAGACGCAACAGAACACTTGACATTCTCGGACCCGCTTCTAGACCAGCGCCCAAGCAACCTTTGTGAGTGCTGGGCTAGTCGGGGTATTCTGTCCACAGGGGGGGAGGGGGAAAGGGCAACCAAATGGAAGCTCCTCTTTCCAAGTATCTTCCATCTTTGACCCCTGTGCCAAAAGCCACGCCCAAGAGCACTGGTGGCAAGATCCGATAGTTTGAGCGCCTGCGAAATCTACCGCTGATGCCATCAAACAATCGCCATAAATGTTCCTGCGCAACAAAAAGGGTGGTGCTCAGCATTTCAACGCTTGCCAGGCGGTGGTCAATCAGGAGCCAAACTGGGGGAACGAGTTGTGCATGCAGTATTGCTCCATTGTGCTTTTCGTTGGAACTCTCAGAATTCGTGGCAATGGCATGCAATCTTGTATCATCAGGAGCATACCCGTGGAAACCTCGCAAATCCTTGCCATAGGAAGCCCAGACGCAAGTCAGGGGCGCAATCGTTGAAGCGAGCAGAGCCTGGACCAGGGGAAACTGGGGGTTCCTCAAACAGCTTGCTGTTTTTTGTTGCCCATACAGTACCCAACTGCAAAAGCCACCTGATTCGGGGAAACCAACAAAACGGGACTCATGGAAACTGAAATCGGCCCAGTGCCCATTTGGTTTCCCGTTCAGCCAACCCCACACAGTACCAACTGCAAAAACTGATTGAAGGACCAGTACCAACTCCAAAAATGACTGAAGAACCTATGGAAGCTCCAACAAACTGAAGGACCACTGCAAGTTGTTCTTCAACTCGGTCTTGGCGGCCTCTTGCTGTGCAAAGATCTTCGCATCGGTTGCGCCTCGAAAGCAGCCAGCGACACTGGTGACTTTGTGCGTCAGATGACGTGAGGGTGAAAGGACTAGTTTGGCTATGAATGCTCACTTGCGAATCGACCGGATCTGACCTTCTAGTGTCTCCCCTTTTTCGTACCCTTGCTTAGTCATGGCAACCCAATAGGTACCGTTTTTTTGTGGTTCCCAGTTCCCAGCCATCCCTAAAGTTTTTCCCCAGATAGCTAAAAGTTTTAGGGGTTCTAACTTCTAATAAAGAGGGGAAAGTGATTTGCGAGATTGATGGGCGGGTGCTAGGAGGCGTGCGGTTTGGGGTGCTGGTGTAGGTGCTGATTGGGGTGCTGAGTGGGGTGCTGTTTGAGGTGCTGATGGCAGTGCGGGCGCATCTTTTCAAGATTGACGGTAGGGTGCTAGGGGGCATGCAGTTTGGGCTGCTTGTGCAGGTGCTGTTTTGGTGCGCGCATTTTTGCATCTTGACGGTAGGAAGCAGGGGGGAGTGCAGTTTGGGGTGCTGCTGATGGTGCTGTGGGACACAGTTTGTGGGGAGCTGTTTGAGGTGCTTTGTGGGGCGCATCGGGCATGCAGGTGACGGTGCAGGCGCATGTTTGCGTCTCGACGGTAGGGTGCAAGGGGGCATGCAGCTTAGGTGGTGGTTTGGGATTCTGTTTGGGGGTGCTCTTCAGGGTGATGGTGCGGGCGCATGTTTGCTCGATTGACGGCCGGGTTTTGCTTGGGGCGTTCTTCGCGGGGGTGCTTTTGGAGGTGCTGGTGTGCAAGCGCCGCTATCTGGGGTCTATGCTGGTGCATTTGGCTTTTTTGGGCTTAATGGGGGTCCATTTCACCACTCAAAGTCCAAAGCCGGGGATCTGAAACGGACAGCACGCCGAGGCCACCTACCCTCTCCAGGTGACACGCTCGGTGATGCAGCAGCGCCGTGAGGCCCACTTCGAGCAGCTTGCCCCGGTGGCCTTCCTGGTTCCTTCCTGTGCATGGTTGCGAAATCCATTTCGCATCACCTGACAAACCACGGAATGATGTTTTTTGTAAATACCAACAAACAATGGTTTCCCATAGTTTTGAAGTGGTGCAGCCATCCATAGTAGTTGGAAAGCGGCGCATATTCGGCCGTGGTACAAAACACATGTTTTTGTGGTTTTGCTTCGGCCAAGTGCGCTGGGGTTGGGGGGTGGGGTGGGGGGGTGGGGATGATAATATTATGGTCCAACTATGGAGCCATATACCAGTCTCAAAGGCATGCTTTCCCCGGCACAAGCGGCATGGCTGCTTGCGCACGTGCTGTTGTTGCGCACGTGCTGTTGCTGCGCGTCGCGGGATGCCCTCCATCCCTTTGCCCTGAGCTTTTCAAGGTTTGGGCCATTCGAGGGATTGACACTGCTCACGCTGCGCTCTGTGCTGCCGCTTGGCGCCCCGCTGCGGGCATTGTAAGCGCGGTGGTGATTCAGGAGTGGTCATATGGCAGGCGAGCAGGGGTTGACTTCAAATTGCTAGCACGTCACTCTGAGTCTTTGTTTGCAGCTGTCAAGGCAAGGGCAGCCCAGCCTCTGTCGGCGCAGGTCGGGGCGACTTTTTATGTTGTCAGGACACGCATGGAAAGTTTAAGGGATGAAGGACTGCGGGGCAACTTGCCAGTGGTGCATCATGTAGAAGATCAAGAAGACCTACAAGGGCAGACAGTGTTCTCTGACGAGAACACCTCGCGTTTTGCAAGGAGAAGGGCATCCCTTGCTACGTCTGCCACCAGAACAAGGTCCGGGTTCAGAAGTTGAACTGCCGGCTGGAACTCAGTGCCTCGACCGGCAGTGGCGCTGCGTGAAGGGATTCCTGCCACGCACGCTCAATCTGAAGTTGAAAGGGGCCCTGAATCCGAGATTATATCAACCAATGGAGCTGGCGATGTCGTCTTGGGACGCCAAAGCCATCGGAGTTCCTGAATAAGCTTGCGGCCATTTTGGCCTGATCAGTGGATGAGCGGATCGATTTGACAACTCACCCTATGCCCTGTTGAACAACCTAACCGTGGAATGCATAGGTTTCGCATCATCATGGATTATTGTCCGGGACGATCATGGCGGTGTGACCAGATGACACCAAGGCCATAGCAGCTCACGCAAACACTGGCGGCCGTTTGGGCCTAAAAAGATGTGCGCCTGCGAAGTAGTTTTCCGGCGCCGAAACATGAAAGGCGGAACATGTTCCAAATACACTTTGAAGTCTCTGTGGCCACAAACCCAGTGGAATTCAAGGATATATGGAGTTTCTCTTTTGCAACAGCACCTTCGGAATTGTCATATTTCACCACGGCCGAACACGCGCCGCGTACCTAGTAGTTAGGCCTTAGGTGTGGCCTCAGGGCTCTCAGAAAGGGGGGGGGCTCTCCATTAAAGGGGGGCGGGGAGGGGTTAGTAGTCCATGATTCTTTTCTTTGGTTTGGGCGGGGATTCCGTTTCCCTTTTTGGAGTCTCCAAAAGTGGCGATCGGTTCAGTGGAAAGCACCGGAAAGTTGATCAACTTTTGAAGAGGAAATCCAGTGACCCCTGTTGGGGGGGGAGGGTTTCCCCTTAAAACCAGCCAGGACGTTTTCCCACCGGGGTTTGCGCAATAATGTGG